TAGAGACCAGAGGTGTAGGACTGACCCCCATCAGGCCAGCCTATGTCACAGCATGGCTGACAAGTAGTTAAGATAGTGGGTACATGCAGAGAGAACAATTTGGGGACAGCCATCTTCCTTTATAACAGCCTGCTGTCATAAGAATTAACCCCTTCTATTGGGTTGTCAGAAAAGTCATGACTCATTTTTACATAGAAAAATATATCGTGACTTTTCTGACAACCTAATAAGGAGTACTCACATGGTCTCGAGAGAGACAATATTAATTCATTCATGAGGCCACTGCCTTCGTTATCCAGTCACTACTCACTGGACATTGTCATCTCCCAACACCATTACACTGGGAACCTAATTCCAAACATGAACCTTTGGGATACATACCATTGTCCTAAACTTTAACCATCCTGTCACCTAGTGTGCAACCTAATAAGGAGAACTCACATGGTCTCGAGAGAGACAATATTAATTCATTCATGAGGCCACTGCCTTCGTTATCCAGTCACTACTCACTGGACATTGTCATCTCCCAACACCATTACACTGGGAACCTAATTCCAAACATGAACCTTTGGGATACATACCATTGTCCTAAACTTTAACCATCCTGTCACCTAGTGTATAAACAGGTACTTGGTAAAAGTTTTAATGAATCAAATGATAGTCTGTATGTTGGAGTATAATTTTTACTAACCAAGAATTAGAACTCTGGTACAGATTTTAAATATTTAAGTTATTCATCAGCCTGGTCCATTATATCAGATTCATTTGCTACTACATAGCAGACCCTTACAGACAGCTATATTCATTCTAAACTAAACCTGTGTTTATCCAACCATTTCTAGGAGCATGCCATAGAGTAACTGAGACTTGTATCCTATGATTCCCTCACCATGCCTTTCTTTTTAGGTAATTTATATACGTGTAGATTCAAACTCAGCTTCAGACTCCACAGTTTTACTGGTCTTTGTATATGTCCTTCTTGAGAATTACTGATATAAATATATTTCCTTCTACATTTTCTTCTAGAGGTTTTATAATTTTAGATCTTTCATTTAATCCGTAATGCATTTCTGATTCATTTTAGGGTCATTTTTTCCCCAAATTTACCTCCAGTTGTTCTGACACTCTCCTTTCCCTAATTGCATCATATTGCTACCTTTGTCAAAGCTCAGTTGGCCATGGGACTAGACAGTAGCACAGAGCTAAAACATGACACTTGCAAGGCTGACCCACATGGGAAGGTTCCAGGTTAATGTCCAGAGGCCTCCCTGGATTATGCATGCCCATGATCCAGGGCTGACAAAGGCTGGTGATAAATTATAGTATATAGACCCTGTTGGCAGTGCCATCTCCCCTCTCTCTCCCCTTCTCTCTCTCTCTCTCTCTCTCTCTCAAATAGATAAATAAACTTAAAAAAAAATCAGGGCCAACCTCATGACCTACTGGTTAAGGGAACTGGATCCCAACTAACTGACTACATGGTTCAAGACCTGGCCCTAGTAGATTGAAAAACATGCCAGGCATGTTTGTGCCCAAAGTCCCAACAGAATGGAGAATGGAGGAGAAGGGATTGCAGCATGACTACATCCTACTGAGGGATGCTTCCCCCCACCCCCACCCCTGACTTTCTCTGGCAAATACACATGCTCTCTGACAATTGAAAAAAATATGTATCAATGTATGGATTGAGTTCTGTTTTGTTCTATTGGTCTATATGTCTATACATATTACCAGTACCACCCAGTCTTAATTCGTGTAGCTTTAGAGAAAGTCTTGAAATCAGATCACATAAATCAGATAATACACATTTTAGACATTCTTCTTTATAAAGAACTCATCAACTAAGCAAGATATGTTAATTAGCTGCACACCACATTTTAACAGTTCTATGCTTTTAAGATACTTAGCAGGTCTCCTGCCTCAGATTATCTGATTGGGATTATCTGATATCAGATTGATAATCATGGATGGCAGGGGTTCCTGATCTGCTTCTGCCTGAATACGTTCGCGATGAATTATGGCAAGAGACTGGGCGATTCTGGAACACTGGATTGCAATAAGAGTACTGACTTGGGTGGGAGTTTCAATTGTATCTCTCACCCTTGTTCTTATGAAACCTAAGTAATAGGGACTGCCTTAGACAAACCCAGAAGAGAAGCAGCAATAATTATTAGCAAGAGCTACAAAATGCCCAAGGTATCGACAGCCTATAAAATTATCCAATATTGAAGAGCGGGGACATTCATCTTGCATGAAGGATCTTTGATTAAAGTTTTGGAATATTTATAAAAACGTGTTCTTAGAGACTTAAAAATTATGTATGTGAAATAGCATGTACTGGCCCACTCTGGTGAGTCAGTAGCCGCAATCTGAACTGCAGTGCTGAAAACCACAGGGCCAATATTTTCAGATTCACCAACTTGGCCTGAAAACACTGGGCACGTGAGTGTGCGCCCAAGATCCTGATGAGCTGCAGAGTTGGGGAAAAGGGACCTACTCTCTGAAAGGTGCTCCTCTCCCTCTCCCTCTCTCTCTCTCTCTCACGTGTGTGCTCTTTATCGCTAAAATAAAATTTATACACAGTGTGTTTTGTAAAAAGTATTGTACACAGATAATACAGGCTTTAAAAACTTTGCATCCAGAGTGGTTTTCCTTTTGGGACATGTCATTTTTTAGAACCTTTTTGGTGGTTTTTGTTGGAAAAAAGCACTGTTTATTCACCTTGCCTCCCTAGGAGACCATGCCAGGAGCCCTGTGGCCACTTCTAGGCTCCGAGGAATCTTAGAACTGTGATGGCAGAAAGCAGCTTGGACACTGTTCAGAGAGAGAAACAAGCTATAGGGACTTGCACGGAATCATTCAAGAACTACGATTAAAACCTGTCAGTGTTGGGAACCAGCAGTTAGCGTAATGGCTATGTCGCTGGACTCCCATGTAGTCGACCGTGGTTCGCGTCCCGGACCCGGTGGCTTAAAACCCACGCCGGGCGCGTGTGCGTGCGTGCCCAAGATCCCGAGAGGAGAATGGAGGAGAAGGGATTGCGGCGTGGCCATCCCCTCTGGGGGGTGATTTCTCACTTTCTGTCTCTCTGTTTCTCTCTGTCTGTCTGGCGAGCGCACGCGCCCTATAGTGAA